CTTGCTACCAATTATGGAATGGCTTAAGTGGCCAAGTGTTATATTGGTGAATATATATATACTATGTAGAGTAGCACACAGAGAGAAATTAAGGGGGAAGTTTTTCTCCCATCTTGAAATGTGTTTCAATCCCATGCTTTTGCACAGGTTTAATTAAATGATGTGAGCTCTTGAAATATTTTAAAGACTTGGGATCCCTTTGTTTTAAATAGTTTGTAAAAATACATGTTGATGACTTATTCAGGTTAATCTCTATAGGATAACGCTTTTGGATTAGTCATTAATTAACCATGGTTAGTGTGATGATTTAAGTCCTAATTTAAGGCACCCACCCTTACATGGTTTACCTTGCTCCCAAACTCTCATTTTAAGCTTAGGGTTCTTCCAAATCCTAGAAATAAAATGCAAAACATCATATAATCACTAAATCTAGATATAGAACCCTTAGACAACACCAAATAATCCCATTTAAATCAGTAAGTTCAAACAAAACCCACAAAGAGACGAAATTATCATCCTCCAACATCCAAGACAACAAAAAATTTGCATAAAGAAGAGAGGGACCAAGTAGGAAGCTTACCCAAGTATTAATCTAGCCCAAAATGCCTTCAAGGTGGCCAAAGTTTGAAAATCTAGTGGACCCAAATCTTCTCTTCATCACCTCTCGCATTTCCTCCTCTCCTTTTTCTATTTTTAAAATTAAACTCGTGACAAATTTAACTAAAATCCGTCACATTTGTCATGAAGCAAGTTGCATCTGCCACAATGGATGGCTCAGTAAGCCCAATCTGAGATTTGGGCCCTAATCTTAAGTCTATTTAGCCCAATACCTATCCTAGTCCAAACCTAAAAGTTGTCCAATGTTCTAACAAGCACATTAATGTTATGAAAATGGCTTATCGAACATTTTTGACCTTACTGATTCATTTCCAGAAGAGAACATCGGGTGAAATCAAAAGAAAATGGGTTGACAACTTTTTAGAGCTTTATGCAAGGAAAGTGATATTTTTACTTGTACATGTTTAGTTTTGATTTAGAGTTGGAATTGTTAGAATAGGACTTGATTTGGTTTGTACAGAGTTTAGGAATTAAAATGGATATGATTTGGAATGAAATGAGTACGTATTGTTGAATTGCAATTGATTTTAGTTGAGTTGAATTGCTAACTGGCTAGAATGTTATGGATATGTGTTCTTTTTCAAACAGGCGTTCTTTTTCCGCACGTTTGTGGAACTTGACAGCATACTCTGAGCATTTCCACGCTTCTTCACTATTGATATCAAGTTCTTGCCAAAGACACTTTTTTAGAGATAATATTTATCGAGAGTTCTATTTTACCCGCCAAAGTTTTGTTTGAATCTCAGACATTTGTGATGTGTTCTCACCATCTGAGCATGCTTCTCTGACCGCCTCCCATATTTCACGAGCACTGAGTAGGAACATGAAGCTTCTCTTTACGGCGGACAGAATTCACGAGCCATTAAGATACCATGGAGTTCTCGGACTTCCACAATTGCAAGGCCTTTCTGTTCAACACATCAAGGGCACAAATCTCACCCGGGATACATCCCAGCTTACCGCGGCCATCAATCACAAGCTTCATGGACTAGGCCCACTCTTTATAGTTGTGACCAGAGTGTTTTTCAGGAACAAGACCATCGATCCTTCGAGGGCAATAGCGATAGAGTTGCTACTACCCTCTTGGAGATTCGAGTTCGAAGATCCCTCCAGTCTCGGACGCGTGCAATGAAACTGCTAACTCTGATACTATGTGCAATGAATTAAAGGGTGGTCAAACGTACATAAATATATACAAAGTTGGCATTTAATAATTGGGAGCCCAATAACCATGAAAATGAAATAAATCAGAAATATTCTAGATCCTAAATAAACTCCGAAAAAAAGGTATTTATAGCATAATAAAGGCAGATATTCTAATTTTAATTATTATAATTTCCACACATTCCTTGACAAGTTCTATTTGAAACATACCCTTCAACTAGATCCAAGCACTCCTTTCCTCTCAAAGTTTTCGGTTGTAGAACCTTTGTTCATGTTTCTTCAAGTTCCAAACAAGATACCGAAGCCATTAAATGCATGTTTGTTGGTCACACAAAAGGTTACAAGCAATGTTTAAAAGGTGGACCGGATGTTAAACTATAAAAATTAGCAATTCTTACGGTCTAATTGATTAGACTAACAGTTGAACCAGTAATATAATAATTAAATAAAATTTAAATTAAAATAATATTAAATATATATAAAAATTAAATATTAGAAAAAAAAAGTTATAGTATGACTAATTGTTGATAAAATAACACAACTGTAAATTAGTAATATTATAAATTATAATTTTATAACTTATCAAATATAAGCGAATCTTAGTTAAATTAAATCTAAGTATACTAAAGTATATGCATTTATATTTATAATTATCAACATCTTTATAAAAAAAAAAATCTCAAATCATAAAATATATATGTGAATTGTTCAAAAATAAAGTTAGTTTTTAGTAAGGGTCTAATTTTTTAAATTTTCTAGTTTCTTTTTAAAATTTTTAAGTTTTTTTTAATGTTATGTTTAGAACCATTTTGTTTTTTGAAAACCATTTTAATTCGTGATTTTCGATTCTCAGTTTAACTTTAATTTATGACTCAACAATGATTCAACTTCAATCTAACCTGGCTCAATCATAAAATTTTTTTTTTTTGTTTCAATCAGGCTGTTATAAACTCCAGTTGACAATCCAATTGATTTAGCTATTCGGTTCAATTTGATTTTTAAAACAATGGTTACGAGTAATGTCACCCACCTACTCACAAGTACCATGCATCTCATGATGTCACAATTGGCGAAAGAAAACCCTGCTACTCAAACATGCGCATTGAATGGGGGAGAACAATAGTCATGAATGGCTACCTTCCTACTTTAGCCTTTTAACGAAACATGGAACCACCTCAAACCAGCCTCAAGAACCCTGTGAGTGTGACCATGAACGTGCACAGGATGAAGAGTAGGCGTTGTTCAACACTAAATAGCAAAATACATGCCCCAATACAAGAAGAAAGTGTAGAAGGCTACGACAGATCACACCATCCCTTCCAACCTCAAATCTGTAATGTGAACTTTGTTGGCCAACTGCTCTGCCAAAGGGGGTAAATACTAAGTATTTAATTAGCAATGGCCTCATGAAAAATTATCTCCTGCTATGAATATTTCTGTTCGGGGTGTTCAGTCTGAACCCGTCCTGATTGGCCCGATATCGTCCCCATTATATCGGGACGGGTCTTGTCCTAGCCCAAAAAAAATCGGGATGAGACTTTACGGGACGAGACAGGATAGGGGTTTGGGACGGGAAGGGACATAGGATTATCATCGGGACGTCCCGTCCAATCCTGAATATTATATATATTATTTTTTATTTTAAATACATTAATTATATTAATATAATTTATACTTATATCAATTATAATTTTAATACTTGCAATTCTTATTTAAAACTAAAATTTTTCTATATTGATAATTTTAATGGCATGGAGTAAACATGGAGATATCTTTCTTTATAATATATTAATTATATTAATACAATTTATTCTTATATCTATCTATTTAATAACTTTTATTTATAACATATTTCTTGCTTTATTTTTAGAAGAGTAATTAGCTTAATACAACTTCACTAAAGTAGAAGAACAATGATTTGATATTGTGTTTGACTTGCCTGTTGTTGCTAATCTTATAGCATAAAGATCACTTGTATTTGTTATTATAATGTGTAATTGTGATTAATATAATTCAATAATTGATTTTAAATTATTGTTATTTATGTACTTGTGTTGTTTTGATTTTAAACTTAATAAATTATATGATTTAAAATTTTAATGAATATTATTATTTAGATTTTTTTAATATTATTCTATTTATTGGGACGGCGGGACGTTTCGATCTTGCCCTTGTCCGATCTCGATTCTTAACGGAATGAGACAACTTTCGAGATGGGACGGGATATGGGACCAAAATTCAGTCCTGATTTTTTTTTCGAGACGGGACACGGGACGGTAGTATCCCGATCCCGTCCCATCCCGTGAACACCCTTAGTTTTTGTAACTAGTATTAGTTGAATATATAACAAAAGGTGTGCATGAGACAATGCAAATTCTAGCCTGGAGGAATGCCATGAATGATGAAGTGAAGATTGTAGAGAAGAATAAAACTCGAGAACTGACAAAACTACCCGAGGGTAAAACAACAGTTGGCTATAGATGAGTTCTTACAAATAAAAACAACTCTGATGGCAGCCTAAACAAGCATAAGGCCAGACTTGTGGCAAGAGAGTTCGCACAAACATGAGATTAACTATCAGGAGACCTTAGCTCAAGTAGCCGAAATCATCAGCATGGACTCTCTAATTAAAAATCTCAAGTGGCATCTGCACCAACTAGATGCGAAGAATGCTTTCATAAATGGCAACGTAGAAGTTTATATGGAAATTCCCATTGGATTAAAAAATGATGGAAGTAAAGATATAGCGTGCAGGCTTAGGAAGTCCATGTATAGCTTTAAACAAACACCATTAGCATGGCTTGAATGGGTAAAGAGTAGCTACACTCAACGTCAATCAAATCACACACTATTCATCAACCATAGAGCTGAATATACAGTTACTTTAATTGTCTATGTAGATGATATTATCCATCACAAAGGATATAAATAAGATAGAAGTCTAAAGGAGGTGTTGGCTACATAATTTGAAGTGAAGGATCTATCCAACGCACATAATAATATTTCATGAGCTGCGACGTTCTTTTCCCTCAGCAGATTTCCACATGCAATGATCATTTGGGATATGTTAAAAAGGTGTAATCATATAAGAAAAGATAAGATGTGAATGATCATAAAAGGCCATTGGGTACTGCACATGGTCATTAAATATCTTTATATCTTTATCGGGATGATGTTCCGATTAATAAAGGGTAGCTGCAGTCAAATATGGAATCATCAAACAGCAAAGAAGTAATTTGCATTTTGGTATTAGTACCTTTAAAAGAATGTTGTAAGTTGAGTGCGTCTGAGGCATTTATATATACAAAACAAATAAAATACTCATCCCCTTCCCCTCCCAAGGCCATCACTTGTGTATTTTACATTCATTCCCAAGGGATTTCACCAGTCACAGAACCCACACTCTCGACTCAACCTCCAGTAAAATACAGAAACTGTTCCACTTGCGCGTGTACATTTACACTGGCTTCACGAAGTGACGACTGAAACTTGGTGAAGGTCATGGTAAAAAAATTGGCATGTTAAAAGGTGGTCAAAATTTGTGATTTAGCCTATGTACACCCTCAACTGAATGTAGAATTTCAGCCATTAAGCTTTGACAAAAATTGAGTCAGATCGTACTCTTCTGTATATTGCGAATGGTCCCAAAGCTCTTCCAAACCTCCAAGTATTGCTTTCAACCCCTTCCCACTGCCCGCGGATTTAGCATCTCCATCCGTGTTATTTAATCGGTTCACAGCAGGAGCTCCCTACACAACAAAAATGAACAATGGATAATAAGAGTGAGTTTGTGGGTGTCTATCATTCAAACAACTTGGACAATCCTTCTTTAAAAATTGAAGATTTCCAGGAAAAACACAGCATGAACAATTTGACATAGTACAAGCTCAGCTGGTGGACTGTCATATTCAAGCTATCCGAAATATACAATATTTATACCTTCTTGAAGGTTTCTGCCGATGCGAACAAATCAAGTAACTGATCTGTATTCATTGTTTTCATACTAGCATTTTCAGCATTAATGACAGCATTAGCCACTGAAACTTTGAATCTTTGCAGGCTCATGACTTTCTCTTCCAAAGTACCACGCATTATTAGACGGTGGACATTGACAACTTTTTTCTGACCTAAACGGTGTGCTCTGTCCATAGCCTGCAAGGTGAATAACATGAGATATGTGTTTACAGAAAAAGCTCTTGCACATTTCATTCGCCTTCAGCAATTAAGACAATGACAGACAGCTATTTGTGCACGTACAGCAGGGGTGACAACTAAACTACTTCGAACAACCAGAACTTAAGCTTTTGGGCTTGTCTTTGATCCTGTCACCATAAACCGCAAATAAAATACAAGAAATTGCAGTTACCTGATGATCTCGCATTGGATTCCAGTCATGCTCCACAAAAACAAGGGTATCCGCAGATGTCAGGTTCAAACCAAGCCCACCCACTGCAGAGGGATATAATATATATCTCAGAAAATAAATTTGTAATTTGAAGGAAAAAAAAAAAAAAGAACCATGTAGCTAAAACCAATTAGGAAGTGCAATTTTTACCATGTGTTGTAAGCAATAAGACATCAATGGTAGGGTCTGAATTGAATGTCTTGACAATTTCAAAACGCTTCTCTGGCTCTACAGATCCATCCAGTCGCAAATATGTGACACTTTAACGTGTAAAAATGAAAATTATATTGACATCAATTATATATATCACAAGCAAATAATTAGGAGAACAAGTCAAAATCATAAGCATAAGAAATTCGTGTAGTAACAGAAAACAGCTTCAAATTTATACCCAAAAACATATAGAACAGTTTGTTTCAACAAGATGGAAGAAACACAAGAAACTAAACAACTATATATTAACTGGATGATTATGACTAGGAACTAACTTCTTCATATATGTCTCGAATAAATCTCTTTCAATAATATCCAGAAAAGCCTGCACATCAAAATGAAAAAATCAGCCATGATGTATATAACTTCAGAAACAAATTAGTCCTCAAGGGCAAGCATCACCTTATGTTGAGCAAATATCAAGACCCTGTGCTGCCCAATGCTAACAGCACTCTCAGAACCTGAACCATCAACTCCTACTCCACATTCTTCCAAGATCTCTTGGAGAGCTACCAATTTTGGGGAGTGATGTAGTTTGTGGAGTTCTGAAATGATTTCAGAGCCAGCAGGCAACAATTCTGAGAGGATGGTAGAGAGTTGATCAGGAACCTTTTCACTAACGACAAGTAAAGGATGACTGCACAACTTTAGCAAGTATTGAAGTGCCTGAAATGTGGAATAGATTATCAGACACACCCATACACACATACACATACACACACATACACATACATATCCATATACATATATATATTATAATGTTGCTAAGCTAATAACATGAGATAGAAAAACCAAATTGCCTGGAAAACATGTGAAGATGCTTTAGGTGATCTGCTGCTTCCTTCTGTCGCAGCTGATTCATTCATTGCTACTATAGATGAGATTTCTCGTTTGACACGAGAACCAGAAAACTGTTCATAGAGTTTAAGCTGTACAGGACTTAAATCACAGTATCTGTCTTGAATTATTTTTTCTGGCAGATCAGACAAGACTTCTTCCTTTGTTCTACGGAGAAGGAAAGGCATGACCTAGTGGATAAAAATACATACAATTAAAAGAAACTAAATGTAAATTTTGACAGTGTGGTTAAGAGAAAAATTTACTTACCTGCTTATGCAATGCCTCCATAGCAAGAACTCCTGCTTCAGCATCCCTAGAAGAGCACTTGGGATCTCTTGCAGCTAGGAGCGGCTTTCCATAAGTGGCATGGAACTGTGAAGAGTTACATAAAACAGACATGATTTAAAACGAGTCATCAATGGAAGTAAGAAGATGAGACTAATAATCCTGAGATTGATTTACTTGAAGCTAATAATGAAGCAAGCAAAAGTCTTATTCCTTATCCCCCCTCTAAGTACACACTGAATAACTGTTTTGTATAATTTCACAAAGCACAAAAGAGGTCTCAGTAATTTACTATCAAAAAGAAAAATAAATCCACAAACATTAAAATAACAAATCCAAGAAGAAGCAGAAGACAACATATGACAGTGCCACATTTATGCTTGTTCAGTACCACTTTAAAAATGCAAAAACCTTTATGATACAAAATTACTAATGTTCACAGGCCAAAAGTTAAAAAAGATGAGAAAGCTAAAGATGATATAAGGCATGCAAAAAAGATCAATCATATAGAAACAGGGAAAGCTACAACCAGAAACAATAGCCTCCATCAAGAAATCACATAATCAATTTTGGCAAAGGGATTGACAGGTAACACTCAACAAGCCAATGTCCGTTGGCCATCCATTTGCAAGCAACACAAGAGTAAGTGAGTGCTGGTTTTTCTCTAATGCGAGTCAACCAGCAGTTCATCCGAGATTGTGAAACTATGTTTCTATGTGCTAAGTTATGAGTTTAGGAACAGTGCTCCAAGGTCTTGTATATAGCTGTACAATATAAGTTTCATGTTTGATGGTAGTTGTGGCTAGACCAAATCTCTCAAAGTATAAATGTTAGGAATATATTTTTAGTATACTTTCTATGGATAGGAAAGAGATATCCGGAAGGTAGATTCTGTAACATAGCTTTTATTTTCTCTCATTCTCTTCCTAATTCTGTGGGATTTGAGTCCCTTTACTGATATATATTGGTTTGTATATTCCAGTGTGAAATAAGAATTGCGACGACTACAAATCTACATGGTATCAATGTAGGCCACTTCTGAAAATTCTAACAGTAAGGTGCAACCATATTGACAGCGAGAGAATCTCAAGTGACCCGTGTCAAGCTAGTAGTCCCGTTGGGTTGATTACTGGCTTCAAAGGGTCTTCCATACTTATCATGTAAGATAAACTCAATAGCACAAATTATCGTCAACAGGCTCAGGTACTGAAGTTGACAGTTGACAGTTGGGGAAAAATGGGATTTATCACTTGAGCAATGAAGATACCAGACAAAACCAATGCCTCAGCACAACAATAGTGGCACACTGACAATTCGCTTGTCTCTTCATGGTGGATCAATGGGATGCTACAACAGATCAAACAAGGCTTTATGTTCCCCCCAAACTGCTCATGAGATTTAGAAAGCTGCAAGTGATTTACTCTGATGGAAAAGACTTAGCACTGCTGTTTGAGATTAAAATCAAAATACGGGAATTGAAGCAAGGCAATTGTGATGTCACCATGCATTGGTTAGAGATTTCTGATATATCAGGAATTGGATCTTGTTGGAATGGGGCAACCAACATGGGCCCAAGAGGCCAAGCCAAAAGCGATTAAGGTTTAGAGATTCTAGTATAATGCCTAAACAACATTAATAGTCATTATGTATAGAGGAATCACGACAAATATTGTTGTATATTTGTGAAAATGTCCACAAATAATTACGATCATATTTCTGCTATAAATCAATTTTCCCTAACAATAAATAAAGGATAAATTTTCCCTAGAAGTTTTTTGCCAGGTACAATTGGCTTAACTTTTGATCGGTACTATATTAACCCCAAAGTTTCAAAAATGGTATAGTGTTGCCCTGTAGTAACATTTGACTAGTGTTGACCATTAATTGAAAAATTTTAACTATGGTTAAGAAGCAATTTTGCCACAGAAATTCTCAAAAGGAGCAAATGGTATCCTAAAATTTTAATTAATGAAATGTTTTCGGATTATCAATGTTCAAATCAAAAGAAAAAACTAACCATTAACAATGTTTAAAAAATGGTTCATATTTCCAAATTTTGACAGGAGGCTTTACCCCAGGTTACTTGGGTACATAACCAACTCTATCAAAATCCTCAACAGACTCTCTTCAGCAAAGTCCAAACTTGCCCTTGAGCAGGCCTAATCAAGAGCAAATATAGACTTGTTCAGACCTGCATGTGGGCAACATAGATTTGCTTGGGTTCTATATAACAGGTTGTTAGATACTTCTGATATTTGGTTAACAGATTGCTAGATCCTTTTTCTGATTTGAAAGTTGTTAGCCAAAAGCAATGGACCAATTAAGAGTTTGGGATACCAATTGTTACTTTAGACAAACTTCAAGGGCAAACTTATTCTTTATCCTTGGTAATAAGTTTTCAACTAATGATCAACGCTGGTCAAACATTACTATAGGGTGACATTACTCCATTCTTAAAGTTTCTAGGGTAATATTGTGCCAATCAAAAGTTAAAGATATCAATTGCACCTAGTGGAAAACTTTCAACGAAAATTTACCCTGTAACCCTAATTATTATCATATTTCCACAATATTCATTGAATCACAAGGGCAGATATATACACTGAGTCAACATAATCTAAGCCTAGAAAAAAGGGATATGAAGAAATAAATGAGACACAAGGAATAAATAATAATATCCTAGCAGATCCTATCCTAAATACAAATCATTACATATAATATTTCCACACTCCCCCTCATGTTGGATCATATATGTTAATCATGCCCAACTTGCCAACAAAGCATTCAAACTTGTCCTTAGCCGGTCCTTTGGTGAGAATTTCTGTAGTTTACACTCTAGTAGGGACACAAGTCAGATTGATTATCTAGTCATCTATCTTTTCTCCCATAAAGTGTCTACCAATCTCAACGTACTTAGTCCTATCATGTTGAACAAGATTGTGATAGATGTTAATGGAAGCAATGCTATCAGAATAAAGTGTAATTGGTAGATTCACATTCTTCTTCTTCAACTCTTGTAACACCCGTTTGAGCCAAACACCTTCACAAATTTCAAGAGCAACTACTCTAAATTCTGCTCCAGCACTGCTTGCAATTAAACTTTGTTTCTTGTTTTTCCAAGAAACCAAATTACCCCCAACAAATGTGAAGTAATTAGATGTAGATTTTCTGTCTTCTTGATCTCCTAACTAGTCTGCATTTGTAAAGATCTAGACATTTTGCTTGTTTTATTTTTTAAACAAGAGACCACGAGATAGAATTACTCTAACTGTGTTCAACTTAAACCTCAGTGGACTTTCTTCAGGAATGAATAATATCTATTTGCAAGCTTGAGAGGGAGTGTTGAAATGAGGCTTGGCCACTTTATTCTCTCATTTTCAGAAGTAATCATGGACTTGAGTTCATGCAGGAAAATTGATTCAATCTACACAAATGCAACATCACCATGTACAAAAATAGAAGATATACTCCTTCCAAGCCACGAGACCAATGCATACCAAAACAAAATACCATAGCCATAACAAATCCTGAACATGAATGCACATACATCCTAGTTCTAGTAATGTATAAAAATCAATTATAAAAAAGGGCATCAAATTTTACCTGTCTCTCTGTACCAAGAAATCCTGGCATTAGAAAATCAAAAAGGGACCACAAGTCCATGATGTTATTCTGCAAGAAAAAGCAATCCATTTGTTTGATTAATTCCATTAATCTGATCAGCTATTATAGTTTTACTTTTAAAGAGCACACAAACCAGTCACCAACCTGTATTGGCGTTCCACTCAATATCAAGCGGTGTTGGGCTTTCAACTGCTTTACAGCTAGAGTTACTTTAGACTTAGCATTCTTGATTATATGTCCTTCATCTAAAATGCAGTAATTCCATTGCAGCTGACCCAAATATTCAATATCTTTTCGGACAACATCATATGATGTTATAATGACATTATGCTTACAAAAATTATCTCTAATACACATCCGCTCTTGAGCAGAGCCAACATATTGAAGAGTAGATACAACAGAAACATCAATATATTTCTCTATCTCAAAAGCCCAATGTGCAACCAGTGTTGATGGGCAAATGATTAACGATGGCAGAAGTTCCTCATTCTCATTCAGACTTCGATGCTCAGCTATTTCAGATGCCACAATTGCTGATGCTTGAAGAGTTTTACCAAGCCCCATGTCATCACATAAAATTCCATGAAGCTTGAAACGTTTCAAGAAAGCCAACCAATTTATACCTTCCTGCTGATACCTGGAAGCAAAATAACAGTAATATTACATATTAAAAGCCATTAATAAACTTCAGTTTTCCCATTTCGTATAAAATAGTAATTATTAAGAGATGACTGTATAAAAGGGTCGGATAAAAATTGAAATCATCACTTAATGATGCAGAGTCTTGCAATAGAAACATCATAAAAATGTGAAAAACATGAATAAATATTTATAAAGATGAAATTCTTTGTGATAGATCAAGTCACTAGGAAAAAGCCAAAGGAATTGAAACAATTCTAACAAAATAACAATTTAAATTAAAAAAAAAACCTCAGTATCACCTATCTATGATAACCTGGTACCCAGGAAAAAAAAAAAGCAAAACAAAAAAGGGGGGAGGGGAACCAATTAACCCAGGACAAATTGGGCAAAGGTGGAGTATTTAAACTTGGATTTTAAAACAGTTTCTGAAGAGCACCTTCAGAAGGAAAAAGAGGAAAATATTGTAACTTACCTTCTCAATGTTACTTTCAATTCAGTGCACAACTGATAATCTTCAATATGAGAATTGTCAAGTAGTTGTTCCAGAAATTTTACATCTTCTGTGTTTCTTGATAAACCCTTCCCCAAACCAAGAGGTGGAGGAAGGCCCCGTGCTAGAGGAAGTAAAGGTACAAGAGTGGCAAAACTATGTGTAACACTCTGTCTGACGGACTGATCACAGTCACTCATACACCTAAGAAGTGGAACTACTAACAGAGGAGCATAAGGGACCAGCTCAACACCAAGCCCCTGAACAAGAAAACTAATCAGCATGCCAGCTCCTTGCCGAGCATGAACTGATGAAGCATCTGCCAACATAGGGACAGCATTTTCAACAACAGCTGCCATAACTTTTAAAGTCATTGACCTGGCCATTGAAGTAATACAGCGTGAAGCAGCTAATCTAACTGCAACATGAGGGTGCTTAACACATTTGAAAATGCAAGGGAGAAGTGTCAACAATTTAGGCTTCAAATCTTCATGCAGGAGGGAAGAAATAGAGCGTACCACCTAAAACAAACACTGTCACGCATTAGGCACTAGTTCAAATGAATATAGTAAAGGCTTTAAGAGAATATAGAAACTATTAAAAGACCACTAACATCAAGAACACATGCACAACCAACAGAGTTAGATAAAAATGAAGATAACCCAACAATAAATCAACACTAGATTTAATTGTATTATATAGATTTTTTTTTTTAATAAAAAAGGATCAATACATTAAAGAGAAAATGAAGTTAAGTACAGTAGTCAAAATTGTATTATATAGACAAGACTAAATGATGATAGAGAAACTCAAATAAAATAAAAGTGATCTACCATGAATTTTTGGTTTGTCATCGAATATGGAGACATTCCAGAACAGGAAAAATTTGTACAAAAATTATTCATGTAAAAATGAAGTTTAATGCTTGAGTAAAATAAACTTTTGATCAACATCTCAAATTATTCTCACCTCTTTATAAATTTCTTAGCAATTTGTCAAGCTAACTTAAGCCCAGCTAAGCCAAGCCTGCGAACACCCCTAAGTCTACCAATCCTATAAGCATCAATATATCCTTTAATACTGCTCCGGCCAAGCAGAGATTTTCAGCACCCCTAGACTCAGTTAATTATATCAGTGAACAATGATGGCCAAGGGTTTTTAAATGGCTCACTGCCGGCTTCAACAAGGGTTGTGTTAACACGTAGTGTTGATTCCATGTACTCTATTTACTATTTGGTTCTTTTTTCTTTCTGCTGTTTTACATCTTAACTACTTAGAAGCAAGAGCACGGACTCAACTTTATGCCAAATCCCAACCCACACGAAGCACTGATTGCTTTTCTTTTGGTTGACGGGAGCTTTGTTGTTTTGTGCTTGTGTGTAGCTCCCTGGTGATAGATGTATCCGTACATGCTAAAGAGAGCATTCATTTTTAGCTACGTTGTTTAAAAGACATTACTGCTCTAGCTCTGGATAATAAGCTCAGAATAAATTTCGCTCTTGATAAAGCAAATCAGAGAAGAATTATTTTTGTCAAAACAAAATTTCCCCATATTATCTTGAATGAAGGATTCAATCCCATCAAGTGAAAGGTTGGACCAATCACTTCTTATTTTTTTCAGTTTCACAAATTGTGGAAGATCCTACGAGTTCAGGGAGATGATTTCTTCCGGTGAAATGGGAGATGACTTCTGATAATAATCAAGATTAATCACTTCTGTTTTCCAAATTCAAAAACACTCCCTCTTCTCATTTATCTCCCTGTGCCTCTTCCCTCTTTTCAAGTTTTTTTTTTTTTTCCAAATTTCAACTCCCAATCTCAATTTTCTTCCCCAATGATCAGAGGTAAAAGCTGTTTTTTCAGTGGAATGTTCAATCGGTCTAGATTAAAGCACGTAACAACAAATTGAAGCTTGTTCGAGAAAGATATCAGTCAGATTCCCTTGACAATAGACGAGAATTTGAATCTCCATTGCTGCTCTAGCTCAACCTCCAGCGCATGATTTTAGGAAGAACATGAATAATGATTACCCAGTTCCCTCTGAATCAATACCTTTCTCTTCCACTTAGAAATTTGACTTGGTTGCTTCATCTGTCTTGAAGCTTCTCTTTCCAATCCCCCCCCCCTCCTTTTGTTTTTTCTTTCAAATTTTTGTCCTTTGAGTTTAAATTTTGAGTTTTATTCCCCTTTCTTTTGTTGGGTCATACCATTAATACCTTTTGCTTGCATGTGATAAAAATATTGGCTGTCAGAATTTTAGAGATTTTATAACATAGTGGTTATATATTTGGGGTTTTCTAGAGTTTCTGCATGAATCACAAGGATGATAACAAACTAGCTACGATGCCACTTATTTATACTCTAAAATACATTTATAGCCACCAGCTAATGTCTTAATCTTTCATAATGAGTTGAGGTATAAATTTGATATCCTCAGTTCAATGCCTATCTCCAAGCTGTCAAATGATTAGGAATTTTATTCAACTTATTCTTAGATCTGTCCAACATAAAGACATTCACATGGTCAGCAAATAATGATTCTTGGATTAACAAGCTGGATGTCAAGCTTCCTTTTAGATGAACTCATTTGACAGCTTGGATATAGGGATTAATCACAATTATAAAGGTTTAGGTATGAGGCTTAGTACCTTGGAAAAAATTGACTCAAAATGGTCCTCTATACTTACCCTTGCAGCCATGTGTATTTCATTAAATGCAGATTCGAGAGCGTACACCTAAAAAGGATATCTAGGGTAGCTAAGGTATTTAAGCCTCAGTGACTACAGTGTTCAAGGGACCTATCATTTACAATCCAATGATTCACATTCATCTTTACGTATAAGAAACACCTGTTAACATTATCAGGGGATGGCCATGAGAAAAGCTAGACCTTGTATTACATTGATCTAATTGGTCACTGCCTAAGTTGGTTTGGTTGGATTGTTATGCAAGCATCTGTGCTGAAAAAATTCCCCGCCCAGCTGTCAGTTTCAGCATCTACTTACTACTTCTGTATTGTGCAGTTTTGTCATGCCAGCAGCAAGCAGATTCTTCCATTTGAAGTTTAGCACATAATTATAAGCCGTTGTATATTAGCATAATTCTTGCATGTTTAGTGTTCTTTCGATCCCAATTTGATGGTAAGGGTAGCAAGTTTTAATTGGCTATTACTCATTAGAAATTGGGGATCATAATTGATGACCATCACAACCTAAACACTTACTTTTAGTTACACATACAAAGAGAAGATATTTTACTATCCTCATGCTTGCATTCTTGGCGTACGGTTCTCAATGTATAGATGGCATCTGATAGTGTGACAGAAAATACTAGTTATAGGGATACATGGTTTCAGCGCTAGCAACTGCATTACAAATATTAAGTTTTTAGGATGACTGCTAGCAAAAGCTTGTCAATAGAACTGACTCAGATGAGGGGCTAAAATAATTTTACACCAAGTGATTGCATCTCTAAACTCGCCAGAATTTGTCTAGAAATTGAAGCTCCATATATCTCAACGCGGCCTCAAGCTCTTAGGATTCATCTCCCCCCAGGGGGGTGTCTAATCCTTTTGACTCCTTTCTCCTAGGATGCTCTGCACTCTTATTTATTTAGATTTTAAAATGAACTTATAGACGCCAGTTACTACCTTATTCTTTCATATTGAGTTGAGCTAAATTTGCTGTCTTGAGTTTAATCCCTATCTCCAAGCTGTCAAATGATTAGTAATTTTATTTAACTTGATCTAAACTTCCTATTTAATTCAATCAATTTAATTTAGCAACAACAACAACAACAACAACAAGCCTTTATCCCACTAGGTGGGGTCGGCTACATGGATTGCAAGACGCCATTGTGCTCTATCATTTATCAAGCTTTTAGGAATATTATTAATTAAGAGATCGCGCTCAACAACTCCAAAGAGTGTTCTCTTAGGCCTTCCTCTATCTCTCTTAATCGGACTCAAAGTTATATGTTCCACTCTTCTCACTGGTGTCTCCCTTGGTCTTCTTTGTACATGCCCAAACCATCTCAACCGATTTTCTATCATTTTTTCCTCAATAGGTGCCACCCTCACTTTTTCGCGTACGTGCTCATTTCGAATTTTATCTTTACGTGTATGTCCGCACATCCATCGTAACATTCTCATCTCTGCTACTCCAACTTTATGCTCTTGCTGTCCCGTTAGAGCCCAGCATTCACTACTATATAACATTGCCGGTCTGATAGCAGTGCGATAAAACTTTCCTTTAAGTTTATTAGGCACCTTACGGTCACAAATAACTTTTTTAGCTTTTCTCCAATTAAACCACCCATCTTGAATTCTATGTGAAATATCTCCATTGATTTCGCTATCATTTTGAATAATGGCTCCCAAATATCTAAACTTTTCCACTTGAGATATAATTTGATCTCCCAATTTCACTTCCAAATTATTGTCGAATAGTCCTTTACCAAATTTACAATATAAATATTTCGTCTTACTTTTACTCAGACGAAAACCTTTCGACTCCAATGTCCTCCTTCATAACTCAAGTTTGCAATTAACCTCTTCTCTTGTCTCTGCTATAAGAACTATATCATCCGCGAAGAGCATATATTTCAGGATTTCCTCTTGAATATGTTCCGTCAAAACATTTAAAATCAAGTTGAACAAATAAGGACTCAGAGATGATCCCTGATGTAATCCAATCTTTATAGGAAAATTCTTTGTTTGACCACTAAGTGTTCTTATACTAGTTTTTACCCCCTTATACATATCTTGTATGGCTTTAATATAAGCAATCCGTACTCCCTTTTTTTCCAACGCTTTCCAAAGCACTTCTCTTGGTATACGGTCATAAGCTTTTTCCAAATCAATAAAAACCATGTGTAGATCTTTGTCTTTACAACGATACTTTTCCATTAATCCCCTTAGTAGATAAATCGCCTCTGTAGTTGATCTACCTGGCATAAAACCAAATTGATTCTCAGAAATACTTATCTCCAATCTCAACCTATGCTCAATTACTTTCTCCCACAATTTCATTGTGTGGCTCATGAGTTTAATCCCTCTATAGTTAGTACAATTCTGAATATCTCCTTTATTTTTATAAATAGAATTATTTTAATTTAGCATATGTTTAAATTTCACAAAATCATCAAGTTTTAGTATGTGGCTTTAGGTTCTAAATATAATGGAATTCCTAAGTTAATGACCTATTTTCTTTTCATCTTTTGCACATTTTAAATTTGATACAGCATGAAACTCATTATAGTGTGTCTTTATTTTGAAGCTGCTTCATTGTTAACTTCCATCTGCTTTTTCTATCGAAAGAATTAATAAAAAAAAATTGTTTTCTTTGCAAAACATGTTTTTATAATTCATTTACACAATGCTCGGAAATAATCTTTCTATTGAACTATAAAACCTTAGTTGGAACATGGGACTAGAGGCTTGGGCTTGGGATTAGTATTGAGTAACTCCAATTTTTCATGTTTGGTATGGAGTATTAACAAATTTAATCCCAATGCCAATCCC